CAGATATGTAGTTCCTACATTATAACAGTATTGTGAATGATACAGAATGACTATCGCTAATAAACTGTCTGTTAACGTGAAGTGCATCACTCAAAACCCGTGTAACGCTCCGTCTGCTTTACTATACTAAATACTGTACTTCACTGGATTTAAATGTACATATAATGTATATGTGTATGATATCCTGCACCTCACGACATCAGTGATATGCTTTTAGTCTGCCTGCAGTCTTCACACACCTGCTAACTGGTGGATTTTCATTCTTAGCACCCACACAGCTGCTGTTCTGTTCACACCACAGAACCAGAACATGAAAATCTGCTTCCTCCAGATGGACACATGACACGCTGCCTCCTGTCAGTCAGCTGACACCCACAGAAAACGACTGGAGTCTCCTCCAGGAAATAAACACGCTGCCTTGTAGAGTGCATCTTCCTTGCGTCTTTGCCAGCCAACAGCGCTCTTATGCCAGTTTGATAAGTTCTCAGATGGGATGACCTATGACTTACTTTTAAATGATGAAATCAGATTAAGTTACATATCACAAACTAATGGCTTCATTGAAACAGAATTTGTGCAAACTGTTTGAAAGTCATTAGAGGTTAATTATAAGCATTTAAAAGCACTTATAAGCTCTTCAGGCTTCATGAAAGACAATTAGTGCTCTTGTTTGGCTGTTGTCTGCCTTTTCTTCTATTTTCTGTCAAGAGAAGTGGTTCAGTAAAGTTGACGTTCTGTCTCTGGGGAGGCCAATCCATGACTGATACTGTTCTAATGTGTGGTTTTCTATCCAGTTATGCTTTTACTCCACTGGCAGTAGTTGATACTATTCATCAAGTTTTCCAGATGGTATTGCCTGGTGGATCAAAATCTACTATTCTGCATTCATAATTCCAGGTTTTGACAGCCACCCTTCCACTGAGATCTGATGAGCCTTTGGGAATCAGTAGATCAACTGAAAGGCCAGGCCAGATGCATCTGTCGGGTCCTGTATTAGGTCTTTGCCCAAGGACATGACTCTCAGATACAGTTCATTTGCTGTAGATTTGCTGTAGTTTTTTAGGCCTGCTACTTCAAATCAAATCAAATCAATTTATTTATATGGCACTTTTCACAGAATAAAAACCACAAAGTGCTTCACAGTAATATAAAACAGAAGTACATAAAATACATTAATAATCAAACATACAGCACAAATCTAATTAAAAGCCAATCTAAATAAATGAGTCTTAAGCTTCTTTTTAAAAGAATAAATGCAATAAAGGCAACGTAATGATGGAGGGAGAGCATTCCACAACCTGGGGGCCACCGCTCTAAAAGATCTATCACCTGGTCTTAAAATGAGTTTGTGGGACTAACAACACCTTTGATTAGATGATCTCAGACTGCGCGAGGGAATGTGGGGTTCTAAAAGATCAGAAATGTAGGCAGGGGCATCACAATTCAAAGCTTTAAAAGTCAGTATCAAGATTTTTAAATGAATTCTAAAATGTACTGGAAGCCAGTGTAATGAATGTAACACTGGTGTAATGTGCTCTCTTTTTCGTGTCTTAGTTAAAAGCCTTGCAGCAGCATTCTGGACTAACTGGAGACGGTCAAGATTCCTTTTGCTCAAACAAAGAAAAAGACCGTTACAATAATCTAAGCGAGATGAAGTAAAAGCATGAATAACCATTTCTAACTCAGATTTAGACAGCAAAGTTCGCAGTTTGGAGATGTTTCTTAGCTGAAAAAGGCCATTTCTAATCAAGTGGCGACAGTGTTGTTCTAGGGACATGGCAGAATCAAAGATCACACCAAGGTACCTGAGGCTCAGGATGACAGATGAGCCAAGAGAACCAGGATGCTGTTTGTGATATTTTGTATGTAGCGGACTGTCGACAGGGTGATTTAAAGACTCTGCTGTGTCCAAGCCTTTTAACATTGCCATGGTGACCTACCACCACCCTGTAAACTGGATGAAATTTGTTTTAGTTGCCATGGTAACAGCTGAAGTCAGAGTAGGAGATGGTGAGAAAGATAACTTCAAGACTAGAGAGATTGTGATTCAGGTGCGTCATTTTCAGGTGTCAACAAAACACCATCTGTTTTCTTTTTTAATAACTTGAAATATTCCATGTTATTATTAGTTATTAGTAGTAGTAGCTTCTGAGTTTTACAAATGTCACTGTAGGTTAGAGGTTTCTAATGCAGTGCGTTTAGAACTGTTTCAGTAAAAGACACAACCCCAACCACAAAGGTGAAGTCCCTGTATTCAGTAAGACTTGAAAATAGCCGGAGGCCTTTCTGTGTGGAGTTTGCATGTTCTCCCCATGTTTTCCATGGGTTCTCTCCAGGTACT